TATCCAACGTTTTTGCTTTGGGAAATAGCCATAGCAACAATTTGGGTTTGGATAACGTACAGTTCTCATCAACATCTAATGAGATTCCCAGCATATCGGAATAAAAGTCAATCAATTTATTAATACTGAACTAAAACTAAGAAAATCACCTGGATTTAACCTAATTACTTCTGAGATACTGAGGTAGCTATCCATCAAAAATATCTGAAAGCTTACGGAAATTCTCAATGTTATTCTACGGCTTAAATACATTCCGATAATGTGGAAAATGTCAGAAGTGATAATGATAATTAAGCTAGACAAGCCTGCTAATGAAGTTACGTCATATCGACTTATATCGTTACGTCTAACGATGTCCACGTTGCTAGAAAAATTGATATTAAAAAGACTTTATCCGATTATATCTGAAAATGATGTTATACCTAATCACAAGTTTGGATTCAGGAAACACCATTCGACCATAGACCAAATCCATCGAATAACAAATATCATAGATAATACATTCAAAAGTAAGAAGGTATGCTCAATTGTATTTCTTGAGGTGTCGTATGCCTTTGATAAGGTGTGGCGCAAAGGTTTGCTCCACAAAATTTAGCGTCTCCTCCCAATGGAATACATAACTCTGTCTCATTCGTATCTCTTTGAAAGACACTTCAGAATTAAAGATAACGATGCTTTCTCGGATATATGTCCTATAAATACTGGCGTTCCTTAAGGTAGCATACTTGATCAGTTATTATATCTTTTATATGCCAGTGATACCCCGATACATGCCAACGAATGCAGATCTAGTTAAATATTACGCTGAAGCACATAAACAGAGACTTCAACACCATTTTAATGCAGAAGCATCATTCCTTTCTAATACAAAAGGACTAATATGTCGGCTTAAAGGAACTAAGTCGTTTGATTTGTCATTCTAATACATTAATCATTATAAATAAGATACAGTAAGATCCCGCTTAACGCTGTTTCGTTTAACGCTGTTTCGGTTTAACTCTCTTATATTTCAACCCGAACATTTAAGCAGATGTTAAAAAGAACAGATGGAGAAGAGAAGCAATCAATAAGAGAAAAACTACAATATCATGAATGCTGGAATGGAATGAATGAGATAGAAAGATCTTTTAAACGAGTATGAAACGACATTTGACCAGATTAAAGTGAAAGATGTTGGATGATATGGATGAAATAGTGGAAGAAATAGTAAAATTAGCGAAACAAACCGGTTTAAATGAGCTAAATGTGGAAAATACTGATAGCAGTGATTTCGAAAAAGAGCAAAAAAAAGGTCCTTGTAAAAAGGAGTTTAATCACTACAACTGAAAGTATGAACCAATTTGTTCAAAATGATCCAAAATTTTGACAGGAGTTCAAAATTAAGACGGGGTGTTATAGATGCCTTATCCACTTATCAACAACTTCTTACAGAACGCAAAAGGAAAACGCAAACTAGGCAGAAAATTGGAAACACAGTATAGACTGAATGATCTGACTGACTGATAATTTTTTTTGTTTTTATATAATATTCGTTTACATTGTTTTTGTTTCTGTAAGAAATAAATATTTGGTTTTATTATTATTAAGAAAAAACATAATTATTAAATTTAATGCATAAACAATTTTATCTTAACCTTCCCCTAACCCCATTATTTACATGTTAAGATAGCCTCGTTTAGTGCTGTTTCGCATTACGCTCTATTTTGATGGAACGTATCCTACGCGTTAAGCGGGGTCTTACTGTATTTTATTATAAATATTTAGATTAATGTCAGTAAGATATTTTATTATAAGCAATTAGATTAATGTCGACTATTATAAGTTCCCGCCATATCAATATTTCTAATTAGTTTAAGTAGTCTAGGTGCAATTTCAATAAAATAAAGTAAAAAAAATGTGGTTGATGTGTAGTAACTCCGCTATTTCCTGACAGATTGCATATCGGTTTAGTTGCAAAATTTTATCGACTTATTTATTGACTGACAGACCAGAGCATGGTGTATCTTTTTATTAATACATTGTGACCGAAAAGTTTTCGGAAATTCTCATTTAAAATTCGCGCGCTGTATATTTTTCGATATTTTAAGTTTATGTAGTTTGGCAGCACTGTCCTTAATTACTATGCCAAAAATGAGCGCGATCTGTCAGACAGTTCGTTTACGGCAGCTGTTGAAACCAGTTCACCTCAGTAGTGCGTTGCGAAAAAAACAATGGAAAAAAATATTGAACAAAGAGTTTGCATCAAATTTTGTGTTTCGAACGAAATTTCGTGTGCAGAATCGTTGCGAATGCTACAAAAGGCTTATGGGGAATCAGTTTTATCGAAAACTCAAGTTTATGAGTGGTACAAAGCCTTTCAGGACTGTCGTACGACCGTCGAAGACATGCCGCGTTCTGGACGACCTTCGACCTCTACCACCGACGAAAACATTGAAAAGGCAAAGGAAATCGTGTTCAAAAATCCTCATGTGAGTGTTAGAGAGATAGCACGAGAGCTAGGCATCGGTCGTGAGATGGCTCGTTTGATTTTGGTGGACAATTTGTGTATGCGACGTGTCAACGCTCGGCTTTTTCCGATTCACCTCAATTTGTTCCAAAAACACCATCGTGGACAGGTCTCGTTAGACATGCTTGATCGTGCCAATTCCGATCCAACTTTCATGGAACGCATCATAACGGGTGACGAGACATGGGTCTACGAGTACGACATGCAAACAAGCCAACAATCATCGGAATGGAGAGGAAAAGACGAGCCGAAACCGAAAAAACCACGCCAAAGTCGCTCGAAAATCAAGGCAATGCTGATTGTTTTCTTCGATATTCGTGGTGTGGTGCATCATGAATTCGTCCCTGAAGGACAAACAGTCAATAAAGCCTATTATTTGACTGTTTTAAGACGTTTGCGTGAAAATATCCGCCGTAAACGGCCTCAATTGTGGAAGGATAATTCATGGATTTTTCATGACGATAATGCTCCCTCGCACCGAGCCAACATTATCAACGATTTTAAGGCCAAACATTCAATAAATACCATCGAACAGCCCCCGTATTCACCTGATCTTGCACCGTGTGACTTTTTCCTGTTTCCCAAACTCAAATTACCACTCAGAGGAACGCGTTTTGAATCCATAGAAGACGTAAAACAGAATTCGCAGAGGAAACTCAAAGCCATACCGGAAAGCGCCTATAAAAAATGTTTTGATGATTGGAAGAAACGTTGGCATTTGTGTATCGCTTCTAATGGAGCATATTTTGAAGGAGATAAAATAAATATTGATGAAGATTAAGAATTTTGCGTTTTATTTAAAATTTCCGGAAACTTTTCGGTCACAATGTAATACTAACTTGTGTTTGACTTATTTCAGTTTGCTATCATATTATTAATATTATGTTATGTAACAGTAGGCAAATATTTACTTAATGTCTATTAGGCATAAAAATAATATATTATTTAATAAATAACATAAGTTTATTTATAATTATAATAGTCATAATAACTCAGTAGTATGGCATTTTCATTTGGAAAATTCGGAATAATTCTTTCAATCGAGATGCAATTATATTTTCGAATAGTAAATATATATTATCCTGAAATTAACAGCTGTGATTTGTTTCCGTACACGTCTTCATAAAAAATATAAGTGTCTACTAACAGTGCTACAAAAATGTTAGCTTATTCTACAAAAGTTTGATTGGACATAAAAATTTGACACATTAAGAGTAAATCTATATTAAATTAAGATTCTCCAATCGAAAACGCCATTATTTCCATACTTGACCTAGCCTTATAATACTTATAAAGCTAAATGCCCCCACTATACACACTCTATCTCAAGACATTAGTTGTAGAAAAAATTACCGTCGGTCAAGTAGAGACTTTTGTGCTCTATAACTTTTGTTATAACTTTGAAATTCAATTGGAGTAAACGAAACGACATATAACTATATTTACAAAATACCGATACCGAATACCGAACCTTTCACCTCGAAAACAGAGTATTTTTTGTAACTTTTTGACCATGTAAAATACAGATAAAATAAAGACTTGTAGATTTGCTTTTAGCTTATTCCCTTTTGTTCGTGGACTAAATTCTTTTTCATCATATTTATCTGAAGTATAGAAAATATATATGTATATATATACTCACATTTTCATTTTTAGATAAATTTGGTTTTCGACAATATACGGAAATAAAATTTAATTTATGTGCTTTAAAAAAAAAACTTCAACTCTTTTTTAAGACAACTAATATAATGAATCATTTAACTTAAACATTTCGTTATAATTTTTTCAATTAACTACCTAGAAATTATCCGATAAATACAATTTAAACTATAGTTTTTATTAATGGGTTGAAATACGGTATAAAGACCTGCGTCGCACTCCAAAATTTAGAAATTTTCTAAAGATAATTGAACAAATAAATAATTTATATATACACTCATAAATTAAAAATAGACCAACGAATGGATTAAATATAATTTTAGCTACTTTAATAAATCAGTATTGTCTAGCAAAATATATGTATATATCGAATTACAGTTATATCAATATATGCCCCACGCGCGTTAAGTGTGCTATCAAAATAGTAAATTATAGAAACCCAGTTTAGCGTCATTGTATACTGAAGACGTGACGACTACTGTTACTCGTTTTATTTCTCTAGAAAATCCAAAACATAGACATAAGTTATTTGTTATGCTGATCCTAATCTGTAATGATTAAGTACGCACTTAATTATGATTTTTTTTTGTCTTGGTCTTGAGTGTTAATCTTATCTTAAGTGATGTTTTTTTTTAAGCAATGTTTTTTTTTACCAAAATATAACAAAAGTTAAATATCCCACACATACTGTTATATTTTACATTATTCGAAAATATACAACTCGTGGTCCTATCATCTGAAAAAATCTAGCTTATTGGTTTATTGGAGTAGATAAGAACCAATCGAAAAGTAGTGACAAGATATGTGTGCCTTTAATTTTTGAAATCAGTTAGCAGTTGATAGATCAATTGAATGGTTCCGATTTAAGAAATTTGTTTCGAAAAATTTAGTGTCAAAATTAAAAGATATTTAAAATGAAAGGTGAAATTACAACAATGTGCTTAAAATAAAGTTAAAGTGATTTATTTGATATATAAAAGTGATTACTGAATCTTAATAGTTTATTAAAATGTTTAAATTATATAAAAAATCCAATATCACGCAATCTTCATCGTAAATCTTCAGGTTTTTTTTAAATAAATTAAATTCGAAATGAAATCTCAAATATCAATAATTTGATAAAAATCCATTCAGACCGGAAAATAATTAAAAATTTTAATAACTTAACTATAGTTCAATGAAGTGTACTTCAACGCATTTATAAAAATAAAATTAAGAAATAAATTTATTTTTAAGCGCAAAATAAATTTAACTTACTAATATATTTAATACAAAAATTTTAATATTACATGTTATTAATATTACATATTAACATCTATTAATATTAATATATAAATTTAATATTAAATTTTAAAAAATATAATATTTTCCCTTATTCATTTTTGTTTCATTTTTCATTAATTAATATATGATATATCATTGAAATGGATTTTCTTCACATAATCCCAACACTCATAGTCTTAAATAGTGGAAATTTCTGTCATCAGGAATATATTTCTAGATACTATTTATCCTCTGCGTAATTTATTTAGAACCATTGATAAATTTTACTCTTATAGTTTCAGATAAATATCTCTCTTAATTTACACAAGTACAATTTATAGTAATTTTGTGATATTTAAAAAAGTGTTATAGCTTAATTTACAGCGACAATACTTAGCCGACGCAGAACACGTACCTTTCTTTCTGAAATCAACACACCTATGTGTTATACCAAACAAAATTGCGACGGGAAATCAAACAATTATTTTATAACGTATGGAAAATGTATTAGTTTTTTGTAGTTCCTACTCTTGTAAAAGATTCTTTTTAGATTGTTTAAACAGAGTGTTTCCTAAAATCTTTTCACTTGAATCTAGAATTTGATAGAGTCTGAAACTCCAGTATTTGGAACCTAACCTATATACTTTCCAATTCTAAAATTTAAATCATTTAAATTTAATAAATTAAATTTATAAAATTAAATTTACAAAACTTGTTAAATTTATTAAATTAAATTACAAAATTTGTTAAATTTATTAAATTAAATTTATAAAATTTTTTAAATTAGATTTGATTAAAATTAATTATTTTATACAATTATATCACAACTATTTATGTGTTTATATTATGGAATAATATAGTTCCCTAACCTCAAAGTGTATTCTGCTCCACTTTATCTGTAAGGAAATCATTTGGATGTTAGTGCTAAGCTTTAAACCTGAATTTTAGTTTTAAATCTAGATACTATACTTTAGTGCATGATGATAGGTAATATTATTTAGATAATTAAGACAAAATAAAATAAATTTTTAATAATAACTTTTTTTCTTCAATTTTAAAGCGCTTTAAAATTTTCCTAGTATATACTTGGTGATTCTTTTCTTTTCACTCAAACTTTTTTAAATTAGTGTTACTTCCGGACCACTTTTTTTTAATATTAACATTGTTTGACCCTATAAGGTCCAAATACACCCATACTAATTTTTTTTTCTACCTATTTCTATATAAAGAAATACATTTAAATTGATATTAGATATTTCTATTAGATCTATCAGTTTAATCTATTGGCTCACACCACCACATTTTTCGTCAATTATATATAAATATAATTCTATCACTACACCTCATCAACATCATGGAAATGAAAGAGTTTTTTTTACTTTCCCGGTAACATTATACAACTATATTCCCTTACTGCTGTATTCCGCTTCTGTTGGCTTTGTTAAATAGAGATACTTTTAAAAGAAGATAGTGATTATTATTATACCATCCTAATTCTATTTACACTTCTTGATGTTAGTTCCGCATCAAAGAAACTAACATCAGTTGTACTGGTAAAGTAAAAATCAAAGAAACTAATCCTCTTCTAATGTTGTTCGTTTTTGCGTTCTTTCAGAGATTGAGAATTTCTCTTTCTTCGGAAAACTTTAACTTCAACGCAATTACCTCAACTTTTGTTTTTTTTCTTATTTTTTTTAAATAATTTATTTAATTCTTACTAATTTGCTGATATTTGGAAGACCCGCTAATCAAATTTTGATATACGAAAACAAAATTTATTAATAAAATTATTAATAAAAGTTTGAACCCGATATGAAAAGTATTTGTTAAGATTAAATTAGCAAAAACAAAGTCCTTGATTCTAATCTACATATTTTATATGAGATTAAATGGACATAAATAAAATTCTTTGTTTAAATTTCAGCTTTGCTCTACACTTCAGTACAAGTGCTAGTGATTGCAGTGTTTCTCTTTGTTGCTTTTGAGAACATCACTGTCGCTTCGAGTGATATATGCCGTTTATTCCCAACCAAAACAGTAATACGCGATCCCGATTCTTGCAATCAGTAAGATATATGAGAAGTAAATCCAAAAACTATATAAACTCATTATTAAATCTTAGATATATTACTTGCACAAATCTGGAAGGTACCTATACAAAATGTGCTACTTCTACTCCGTTTTTCGATAAAGACACGGGTAAATGTGTGAAAACATTGCCAGAGAACAGTACATGTGGCGTATCGTGTGAGGAAACAGTTGGTTTATTCCGTGCAGACCCAAAGTCCTGTAAAGGTAATATAGGATTAATTTAACAAAATAGAAAACTAAACAGTAAGACCGTTAAAATATAAACTATCTTTAAGGTTACTTCTATTGTGAAAGTGAAGAGACTGTATTATACGGTTCATGCCCTGATAAAACACATTTTGATGAAGACAGCCAAAAATGCATTTATACGGACTCATCTGCTTGCAATAGTCATCAATTTGAATACTGCAGTATTGTTAAGGATGGTGTTAATTTTAAGATGGAATCCGGTGGTTGCGATGAATATTATACTTGCAAAAGTGGTGCACTTCAGAATAAAACCTGTTCAAAACAGTACTTCGATGTGCTTTCTGGAAAATGTGTTGACAAAACATTAGTTACCTGTAATGTACATCCAATTCCAGATGGTGCTTGTGGCACCGTAAAAAAACCGAAAAAAAATGAATTCATATCTGACGATGCAACATGTCGTGGTTACTTCTTTTGCGCTGATAAAGAGGACGGTCCTGATGAAAATCCAATTTGGAGTCAATGTCCACAAGACAAGTTTTTCAATGAAAAAACACAATCTTGTGTGGATCCATTAACAGTAAAATGTACACGCGATCGATGCGATGGACGAACATTAACTTTTGTGAGTAGTGGTACTAAAGGTTGTCGTAACTACTTGCGCTGCAAAGACGGTGTCAAGCAATCAGAATTGAGTTGTAGTAATTTGTTCTTCGATGAAGTCAAGGGTGCATGTGTAAATAATATAATTTTATATGAATCGTGTAAGAGTTAAATACTTTAACACAAATAAATAATAATTTTGAAAGCACAGTATTAAAAATTTGGTTTTTTTTATTATTATTAAAGAATCATCTTAAAATATTGATTCGTTGTAAGTAAAACTAAAAAAGTTATAAGTTTCATTAATAACTCGTAAGTTTTAAGGATTAGGCTATGACGGAGAAAATGGGATCTAATATACTATCCAATAGATTTGCAATAAAAATTGTATGGAAAGAAGCTTTATCGATATAAATAGTAACCATACTTTAAAACCGGCATCTATTCTTAGCAAACTATTGAATATTTTTCCCCTTTTTGTGAATCATAGGACTTGTTCACAAATCAAATTAATATTGGTTGATAGCGAAAGAATATTATTACAACATCGTATACAATATATTATGCTTCAATTCAAGATTGATTACCTTACGAATAACTTGTCTCTTTTTTAATGACATCTGGCAGCACATTTATGCCTTTATTTAAAGGAGTCTACTTTAATTTTTACTCTACTTCCATAAAGTTATAATGATGCAGACAGCTCTTCAATGAAGAATAGACAAAGAAAAATTCACGTATTATCTAAAGTCCTCTAGAACACAAATCATTAAGAGAAAGGATTTGTTTTCAAATCACACTTAAAATGCTTAAAACAAAATTCTACTATAACGCAACGATGTCCAATATGGAGTCTACTACAGGCTCGTTCTTAAACCTACCCATTGTTTCTACTATTCCGTTAATAATAATTAATCAAATATTGGCCTTCAAAACTAACAGAGTAAAACTGAAGAACTAAAGTGAAAAATTACTTAAATACCTAACATATTAAAAAACGAAAATATAACAATCTACTTTGCAAGAAAAAAATTAAACTCATTGCTCAAATAAAATATCAACTTATTGCTTATTTACGTATAGGATCGGGGAATAGGATCAGGGGAATAGAATTCTTCTAATCTTAACCTTAAAAACTACTGTTGAATTCAATTGAAACCTTCTGAATCGAAACTTATTTTAGTACCAATAATATAAATATACTATCAATTCAGATGTAGTAAATTCGATTTTTTTGATCCAAATGTCATGAAGGATCTAGTACCCAACATATATAACAGCCCATAGAAGGTTTTAGTATAAATACATATTTTTAAAAAGTCCTTTTTGTTTTGAAATGTACCCTATATACAATATTATATTTTTTCTGCTTGAAGATTTTTAAGTTATGAAAATTTTTGAGGTAAAAAAAAAATGACATTAATATACCAATAAATTAATTAATGGTTTCATTTCATAAGGCAAGATTTTTATTTGTACAACATTCATAATATCACGTTGCCAAATGCTGACACCTGTAATATATCGAAAAGCAAGAAATCTGAACTATTGATAAGTTTTACCCAAGCAAGTAAGTAAGTCAACATTTTTATGCAATAAAAAATAATAAATTTTAATTTTGATTGTTTCAAGTATCATTAAAATATACAGATTTACCGAATTTCCTGCCGATAATCAATTTAGGGCTTTTCCCAAAACGAATTTAACGTAAATTAATTTCACGAAATTAATTAAAACACAAAATATTAGCAGCTAAAGTATGATGATGATTATATACATAAAAGGCGTAATTATTATAAAATATTAGTTTTATAAAATCTTATCATTATGTTACTAATCAGGCACGTAACTCTGTTTAATTTCCAAAAACATAGAAATTTCCCTCAAATCTGATTGAAGCTACATCTAAGGAAAAATTGGTAAATAAATTTATTTCAAGTGTAATATTTTTAAATTGATGGTATAATAATAATATAATATAATAAAGATCTCTATTTCATATATAGTCGAAAAAGGGTAAAAGTGAGGAAATTTCAAATTCCAAAAATTATTTTTAATCAAGTGAATTTACTAGGTTAACCTTTCAATTGTTTTTGATACTTCTAAATGTCCATTATCAGTGGTCTTTGATTTAGTTGTCCACATGTAATTTTTGGACTGCAAGTATCAAGAATTGAACTCTGTCAAATTTGAACCGTGGACTAGCACAAGCCATTGTGCACTTAATTGTGTTTATTCGAGTTATTAAAAAATTATGTACTGATATTTCGCACTTTTAGTACTCTGTTTTCGCGTGCGAAATTTATTTACATATTTGTGTATAGTGAAAGTATGACCATTATAAAGAGATCACTAATGGACTTATAAAGAAATGTAAGAAATAAATATAAGTAAATACTATGTAAGTCCAATGAAACATCTAATGTATTGTGGTCAATGATGACAACTTAAAAAAAATTATGTCTTCAATATGAATCCCTGTCTTCTACAGCGTGTTCGTATAAAATATGTAATATACCTTTTTTTACTCTTTTACATATTATTTTCAATTTTTATCTTTGTCATTGTTTGTGTAACTGTATAGTTATAGAGTGCTCCCCTCGGACAATCTTAAAGACAATGTCATCCAAAACAATTTAAGTGATATACATGACATACCCAACTGACAAAAAAATATCAATTTTAAAGAGGAATTATTATTAGGGAAAAAGGACATGATTAAACCAAAACAACATAATATAAGATAGATAAACCAATACCAAGTATTTTGTAAGTAACGACTACTTACTAAAAAATCTTGATACCAATCGTTTGGAAGGATTTCAGCTGATAATTTTGATAATCTTTGAACTTTTGTTTTGTTGAACATTGCCTGGCCCTACGCTCCTCCTAATAGTTCAAAAAAATTTATATTTTATTGTTAAATTCTGAAGAAATAATGAATTTGTTAATTTAAAAAAAAAATTTTCATTGTGTACGTGAGATGTATGATCACGCCCATTATAATCTTTAGAACTCACACCTGTGGATTTTTACTTATTTCAAATTTATTAAAATTTTGATAAGTTTTTAGGTAATAAAACTTTTAACTCAGATAAAGATTTCAAAAATAACGGATCAATCTTTCCTAACAATATTCAAAAACTTTATATACCGATTATTACGAGAGATACATAGTTACATATACCATACTTGACAAGTTTTGTAGACATAGGTTAGTTTAGGTTGTATCCGCAATCTTATGGTGTACCAAATAACGAAAAAGTTTAGAGGTTTAAAACCACCTTGAACTTTTGGCAAACTTAAAATGATATTTAATGGGAAGTCCTGCAGTTGACCAAGATTCTCAAAAAAAGAAACCCATAGAATAGTAAGGTGACGCCGTTTTGTAGACATATGTTAGTAAAAAATATTGTCTATTACTTTAGAAAAAAATGTTATCTTAAAATTAGAGTAATAAGTAATTAAATTTGCATCATAAAAATCGGGCAGTTTTCTATTAGTTATTGATCTAAATAAATACTTAATAAGAGAAATTTCGTAAGTTGAGCCTTTACAGCCCTAGTTAAAGTAAATGAAATAGTTATTTTGACAATTGTCTTAGTAAATATAATTTTTTTCACTAATCTATCCAATTGAAAAATAACTTTATTTCAATTATAATCGTCCTCCTATAATCTCTCAAAAAGAAAAGAACTGTTCTCTAACTACTGGATTATATATTTTCGTAACATACGAATATGTATAACTACTGATTTTGAGGAACATGTTTTTGAAAAATGCTTCCCGGGCAACCAATACATAGGAACCTATAAATGTTCTGCTGTTAACCCTGAAGCAACACGAAAATTCTTTCAAACCTATAAATTACTTTTCATGAACTAATGATCCGGTAAAGTTTTTTGAGTGGGTATTGGAACAAATGGGGCAGTCATTTCAACAGATAATGTAGTAACAGGTTGACATGTAAGTAACTGTAATGTTGCAAAATTCAATGAAGTTGCAATTGTTATGATCGAAATTTATATTTCTGAACTTGCAATAGACGAAAGGTATAGGTATTTAATTAACTGAACAATATTAGAACACGTTATCAAAATTAAAATAGTTTCGTGTTCATTACATATTAAATTATATATTATAATTTCAAGTTCCATTTAAAAAGTGTTAAAAGAGCTTAACATCATGAAGACGTAAACTGACAATAAACTATAGGGTTTTTTTTATTATCATACAAAAATCTTAATATTCTGTTGAAAACTGAATACATTAAATAAAATTAATTATTTTTAATACTAAAAATACACTGAAAAAAAAATTTTATTGATGACTAATCAACTTTCATAATATTCAATATCACTGAAGATTTACACAATTCAATTTATGTTCATTTAAAAATACTTAGAAAAAGATAAAACTTTTGATTTACAATAAAACTTTTTTAAAATTTATGAAACAGTAGCCTAATTATCTAAAGTATTTATGTCGTACCAGATAAGATGTCGTAAGAACAAAACAATACCATAATTTTTTCGATTTGTAAGTTTTGCAGCAGTTTTATTTACACTAAAACAGTGTTCAGTGGTATTTTAAAGAAAATTAAAATAAAAATTGTGATTTATCATTATAATCAAAATGAAAGGTAAGAAAAATACTAAGTTTAAAATATATCATATTAACAAAAATATAAAGTCTATAACATTTACAAACAATAGCATCAAATGACTTCAAATCTATAGAATTTTTTAAAATGTCAATATTATATTTAGTTAAATATAAAATTTTATAATTAATTATATATATTGTTGTATTATAAACTAGTAACCCGGGCAGACGTTGACCTGCCATAGATTGACTTCTATTTTTAGTAAACTGCATTTTGTTTAGACCGCCTGTAGTTCGACCAATGACACTTCGGTTTGGTGCCATAATTAATATATAAATTTAAAATTAATAATTTAAAATATTTTAAATTTTAATTTAATTTGTGAAATCTTCCTTTTATTTTGCAATTACGGTATCATAAAATTATTATATTCATTTACAGTAAAAAAAATTTGAAGAAATAATTTATTTATTATATTTGATGAAATATTTAAAATATTGATGACACACAAAAATATTAAAAGAGAATCAGTATCACTCAAACTGTAACAGTTTGAAACAGAAATTTATGAATTTATTATTTATGTTAAAATTAGTGAATTTTTTCAATATTTTATAATATAAAAGCCTTCCCGGGGATAAATTTGAAGAAAGTATTTATTTATTATATTTGAAATATGAAATATTTGAAATATTGATGACACACAAAAATACAAAAAGAGAATCAGTATCACTCAAACTGTCAGATTGTCAACAGTTTGAAACAGAAATTTATGAATTTATTATTTTTGTTAAAATTAGTGAATTTTTTCAATATTTTATAATATAAAAGCCTTCCCGGGGATAAATTTGAAGAAAGTATTTATTTATTATATTTGAAATATGAAAGATTTGAAATATTGATGACACACAAAAATACAAAAAGAGAATCAGTATCACTCAAACTGTCAGATTGTCAACAGTTTGAAACAGAAATTTATAAATTTATTATTTATGTTAAAATTAGTGGATTTTTCCAATATTTTATAATATAAAAACCTTCTCGAGGATATACCTTATAATTTTTCCTGTGATTTTCCCGGTGTTGGATGTACCTATGGTTTTTGAATCCATCCAGTACAGACAGACACACATTCATTTTTATATATATAGAAGATATATTAGTGTTTTGCTAAAATCAATTTTAAGACATTCAAAATCCAAAATGCACAGTTTGATTCAGTACATTGCATTGTTTTGTGAAAGGCAACGACCCTTTTTAAAATGCAACGAATGGATTTGTTTGGCGCTTGCACTGTGTGCTGTTGATGAAGTGTTAAGAAATTACTTAATTAAGTTTTGCAAGTGTGTATTTAAGAAATTTTGGGATTGCAATGAAAATATTTACAAAAAAACGAAACTTCCTAGATCATTTCATCTACATCATCCGTTACTATACAGTACAACTTCCTTCCATTCTTCTCTGTTTATGGCTTCTGTTTTTTCAATTTCTTATGTTCATTTCTTCTAAGTCCTGCTGCACACTGTCTTTCCATTGTTTTCTTGGTCGCTCTTTTTTTTTGCTGGTTCCTACTACGTTCTCATAAATCTTAAGCGGTACTGTCATATCCGGGATTCTTATCACGTGTTCAACCCATCTTAACCGCTTGTTTCTCATAAATTTGTTGATTTTATTACCTTCAGCTAACCGTTCTAGCTTGTGGTTGTATCTTATGCGATACATCCCGTTTTCTTTCACGGGGCTAAACATTTTCTAAATATTCTCCTTTCAAACACTGCTATTTTGCTTGCTTCAATTTCAGTTAATCTCCATGTCCCGCAGCCATAAGTTTTGCTTTTCGGAAAATATTATTACTTATAATTAGTCGTTTTAATCCATAATAGACTTTATTCACAGCTTATACTCCTAGATCCTTTAGTAAATTTCAATTTCTGTATAGCTTTTAAAAAACTATTTTGAACCTTACAATAAAATAGTTAAAAAAGAATTAAATTTCTTAAATCTTCAGAAATGGTTTAAATTTATATCACAATAAAATATATATAATTAAGTTTCATAAAAATCTTATATTTAAAGGTATTGTTTTCATATTAATATAAAATATTAGATATTGGTGCAGACTTTTACCGTCGGAAAGTACAATAGGCCCCATTGATTTATTTTATTTAAAATTTCTGTGTCGAAATGATCTGGTCTTTTGTATTACATACTAGTCAATTCCAGGAAATAATTACAAAATCAAACATATTGCCTGCTAACAGCACTAAAATATTTCATTGCTGAATAAAAAGCAATAGTGTGTTGCATGATGCAGTACAATGCAATACATTATATGAACTAAAACACTACATTATTAACGAGCTAAAAGGCACGACATTACAGATTTCGCAGATATTGCTTCGTATCTCTGATATAAATACATTATGTTACAGGTATATCCAAACCTGAAACGACATTATTTTTATATATACATATATGCATCTTAACTAGGAATCCTTAAAAACAATGAAGAAAAATAAATTCAGATTCATTATTTTATATGATTGTTATACGCTAAATTCAACAGATCACAGCAATTCTAAGAAGTGTTGAAGATTCATTGAAAGCAATGAATGTATTTGTCTCACTTGATTTGCTTATCTAAAAACAAGGGACTAACCAAGTCGTATCAATAAGTAAATCAAGATTAAGCAATTATAAAGTATCTGATGTACCCTTTACACTGTGAAAGCAAATGATATATTAAATAAAATATAAAAGTTATAGTAAAGATGTGCTTCATAGAAGGGAAAACTTTTGGTGTCCAAAGCGTATAATTAGTAAAACTGATTAAATTAACTTATGAATTTCAGATGTGTATCAGTGAACTAAGTTGGATTGCTGCGAAATGTAGAGATACCCTTTAATATTTAAATTAATTCTAAGGATTAAATTAAAAGTAATGTAATCAATTACAAAAGATTAAATTTAAATTTAATTAATTAAAAACTGAATGTAAAATACTGGTACCTGCACATGGCACCTAATAATGTATAGATGATATCGATCAATTGTGCTATCTTAGCAATATCATTACTAGAACTGGTGATTTGGTAATCACTTCACGCAAACTACTGAATGGATCAAAATTCGAAACGCGGCATGTAATAACATATGTATATATGCAAAAAATTTTTAGTCAAACGTTATCTCCAACACTAATCGGGGATGGCTCTTAAATGAAAACTGCAAGACTATCAGAGGATGTCACCTGGAGTCAGAGTAAAGACATTTTGACGAAACTTTAATTAATTCACCGATCTGACCTAACTTTTTGTCTTTACTCTGACCTTAACGACTTCAACCATTCCTTCTCCGTACTTTTAAGACGACCTTATTATAGAGCACTAAACGCTTTCGACTTTGGTACCAACATTCTTTAGTCCAAACTTTTATGAAATTGCACTTCATTGCCTTAGTTCAACGATAATTCCGAAACGTTATCATCTTTGATTTCAAGGACTTACTCATTAAGTTGACTGTTTCCGCTATAGAGCGACGATGGTTAAGACGGACATACCATTGCGGTGTTAAAGTGGATTAAGATATTTAGTAAACAGTCGTCATATAAAAGTCATCAGAAAAGTCTATAAAAAACTTGTTTGGAACTGATATTATTATAGAACACCACTTTCTTCTGTAATTTAATGTATTGTATTATATCTATGTACATATGACATATGCATGTACATTTTATCAAGGTATTATGTGATATTTTATAAAAATTTAATTGAAATTAAATATCGATGGATATGCGGAAAAACAATTGATAAAACATGGATACAAGCCAGAGAATGAGTAGAGCTCGTGGGGTAGTGCTCCCAAACGACCACGAACTCAACAATCAGCTAGAAAAGTTTAGGCTTGCGTATTTTGGGATTTAAGTGGAATAATTTATATAGACTTTTAGGAAAAAGAAAAAATAATAACATTAGACTACTATTACGTACTATTAGATCGATTGCATAAGGAAATCAAGAAAGGACGATCACATTTATCAGAAAAACCTATTTTATTTTTACAAGATAATGCACCTGTTCACACGTAAATGAAAACCAGGGCAAAATTAAATGAAGTACGGTACGAATTGCTTCCACACTCACCGTTTTCTCCAGATTTTGCTCCCAGTGGCTATTACCTGTTTCCTACAAAGGATGGCTTTAGAGAAAGGGATTTGCATCAAATGATGAAGTTGACTAGAAAACTGAGGTATATTTTAATGGAATTGATAAATCGTATTATTTACAACGTGTTGAAATATTGTTAGATCGTTGTACTCGGTGTGTCGAGCTAAAAGGAGTCTACATTGAAGCATAAAATATAATTCTCCAAAAAAAGTCTGTTTTTATTACTTAAGCCGGGTATGTATAAATTCACCCAGTATGGCTAGTGTTATTATATTTTTTTTTTAAATATCTATCGATTGAAATGATTTTTAGCAACTATATTTCTATAAATAATATCAACTAATTTACATTCCGTACAACATTAAATTGACTATTACAAAATTATTAAATGAAGTTAATTACTTAAGTAATTATGTTAATTAATGTGGCTATTCCAAATATGGGAATATTTCAATAACTTCAAAAATGGTTTAAAATTAATTACTTTTCTTTTTTAAAATAAGGCGTATTTTTCAACTTATTTACAAGTGTTGATTATAAGATAATTTTAAAATTAAGTTATAATAGTTTTGATGAAATACATATTAAAACGATAAAAAAATGCGGACTTTGTTCATATAAATATCTTTATATATTTAAAAAACTTTTATTTACAAAAAGCTGATAATCACAGTAATCTTACTTATCATGTATTAAATGTATTTATTTTGGATTTTCTATTTAATATAATTTTTATTTTTAGAAAATCCATTATCTGTACCTAAACGGTGGGTCTTGACGTCAGATTTTTGGTGAAAAATTGAAATTATTGTTCTCAAGAATATTCAATGAACACTTTTTTTTGTATTTAATAATACAATATTTATGAATGGTATTTAATAATATATTGAAGTTATTGAGATTTTTAAAAATTTATAACGATTCATAACAAATATTTTACTCAATTCATAAATTTTTTGGAAAAGGAAAAAAAATTTGTCATGCCCGAATAAGTACGCCTGTTCAGAAGGGGATGCAGGGGTGTTAATTACACTTCATGTTAGTAATTATCTGTGTTATGTGCTTTAAAAATGGCCGATTTAAAATTTATTGAGCAATTAATTAAAAATATAATAAGTTTGATAAATTCAAACACTTGAAATTCTCTAGATGTTTATGGTCTATTTATGCTCTTATTAAAGGTGAAATTTAAACAATTCTTGGCTTTCTGTACGACTGTGATTAGATATCAACGCAAAAAAAATGCAAAAAAAAACCAAAAAAAAAAAAGAAAACAAAATACTGGAGAGAATGGCATTCAGTAATAATACTAAATAACGTCTCGAAATCTATATAAGCAGTCGTCGTATGGCACAAGTGTTCAGTGAACTAAATAAGCCAGCGGATATTATAAATTTAAAATAAAATAATTGTGTTCGCAAAAATTCTCATTTTTGGAAGAAAATGAAATACAGATGTACGTACTAAAAATTTTTTTACTACTGTAAAAATATATATGTGTATTGATATAAATATGTAACGCTAAATTTTTTATCTTTGTAGTGAATTCAATAATATATAAAATTAAAAAATATCAAATTTTTAAATTTTTGTAAATCTGTGCATCGCCCTTAATTGTTTTTTGGCAGGGCATTCTAAAAGAAAATACTACCTTATGAAGCCCGCGAAAAAAACACATATTTTTTGAATAAATTATATTTTTCTTTACAAATGAATTTTTAAATTAAATATTAATTTCTCTAAATATTCTTTTTTTCTCATTCATTTCTAACAATTCTATTCTATTCTCATTCAGTCTAACAAATAAATCACCCATTCATATATTTAGTTATTTGATAAGTAAATTACTATACTAAACTAGAAATAATTAATTAATTATTTTTAAAATTTCGACATTAAGAAACATAAAAATATTACTTTCACTTCCCACCAAAGTTTAATTTCTACATACATTTATATATAATTAACACCGCCACAATAGATCGTTTTACGATTATTTTTCTGTATTATTTTCTATGTAATATTTTATGGATCGAATATGAATATTGATATCAAATTTTAGATACTTCTCAAATAAATTAATGAAACTCTAGATTTTTGTAACTAAACCAATCTCCTACAAAAAGGTGAAAAGGACGGTTTTATTATGGGAAACGCAGAGAAACTATTGTGTATAGAGTTTGTGATAATCACATCAGTTCACTTGCATATATTTCTTATAATTTCTATGCTTTGAATTTTTATTAAAAATATCAAATACAATAGGTTAAGTTAACCGAATTTCAGAGTTCACGTACCGCTCTAAAAAATTAACTTTTGAGTTAACTTTTCTAAGCGTATAAATTTTTCGAACCATCCATTTGTTTAGCAACACAGTGCCAAGTGTGAGCTCTTGCTCCATTCTGTTTTAAGCTCCAAAAATATATTTTCATCTTCATCATCAAATAACCTTGATTTAGTCACGTGGAATAAGATAAAAAAGTAGGATGATATTCAATACGATAGTAAAGACGACATTCCGTTGTCTAAATTGATTAAATCAAACGAAGGTGTCGAAGGTGGCTGATATGTTAATATTGAATCATTGAAATTAATTTAGTGAGCTATTTTCAAAAAAATCTATGCTATTATTAATTTTTTTTTGTGAACAGTCCACCTGAAAATATATCATTAATTAAAAAACCTTCTTTTTTAATGTTTATGGTCTTTATATTTTTTTTTAACTTACTTTAATACAAATATATGACTATGATACAAAGTATTTGAAGGCTATAAAAATATGATGGAACCATTCGATCCACTACGGATGAACCAATAATCATGAGCCAACATAAATGTTTTGGAAAACGAAAATATCTTTTCATTAAACTATCGATGAACCAATCGGTTACAAAGTAACCGTGATCTATCTGAGTGCTTGTCAAATTAAATATTTTATTTATAAGAATTAGCAGAGTTAGTGTAAATTTGTATAAAAATGTTAATATTAGAAAAATAAGTAAAAGAATAACTAATGTTAATCACCATACATTAAAATTAAAAGAAATATTTGCAAGATTGGAATAAACCAACAAATTTAATCTGATTTATTATAAGACAAATAATATTCAGGAAAGCTTTCGACTACTTGGTACCTCTTCCCTCTCTTTCAGCACGATGGCAACTAAAACAGATTTTAAATCTAATAAAATAATTTTAATAATTTTGATTCTCCATCCAAGTCATCTAATCTAAATTAAAAAAAAATCAACCGCCAAAAGCAATGGTATAAATGTGGTTTTTCAGCAACTAAATTATTAAGGTTCTCGGAAGAAAACCACTTTAATTCACAAAATGTAGGCTCCAATTTTTTAATCTTTTAAAGTTTAACATTTTTATATATTTAATTAATTTAAATTAATATTTTTATCTAAAAATATTACTACTAACTAGTTCCAAGAACTTCTCACTCGTACAATCATTGTGAAAGTGATGTTTTCTTAATTGCTGCATTGAAAATTAGATGGCGCCTTTCCAGCATCTGCTAGAAATATTTTTAAACGAATAAGTCTTAAAACCCTCATAAACCTTACCTAATTTTCGGTTTGGATAATCTTCGTAAAATAACTTTTTAAACATAATGAATCGCTTTTTCAATATATATTATAGCCCTATATATATGTATACATGTACATATATATCTTTATATATATGATTTGCTTTACCAAATCATTTAAGATATGAAAATTTGAATATACATTTATAATCATGTTTAAAAATAATATTCTTATCTTTTTTTTACAGTGGTGGCAGTAGTAGCTATATTCCTTCTATTTTGTAACGCATTTGCTGAGTACGAAGAAATATGTCGTCTCCTCAAGAATGGCAGCACATTTCGTAAGCCTGGCAGTTGTACGCAATACATAACCTGTAATAACAACTATGCTCAAACTCACACATGCACGGGTGACACCTTATTCGATCGTAGCAAATTACAATGTGTCGCGAGTAGTACCTTATCCAGTGATACTTACTGCAGTAATCGCTGTGTCGGCAAAAGCGGCACCTGGATACCAGATTTAACAAGTTGCCGAGGTTTCTTATATTGCAGTGGTGATGTCCCAATTAAAGGGCAATGTCCAGAAGGATATCATTTTAGCGAATCTTCTCAACAATGTATTTTCGATGAAGATTCCAGTTGTTTGGTAGTTGGCAATATATGTGAAACATTACCAGATAAAACTAGATTACTTAATGAAAACAATTGTCTTAACTATTATGAATGTTCTAAAGACAAATTATCATCCAGTGCGTGTAAATCTTTATATTTCGATGTTCAAAGTGGTACGTGTGTTGACAAACAATTGGTAGCATGTACTGCACATCCATTACCGAAAAATGTTTGCGGTACTGCCGCCAAACCATCTCCCGGCTTTAAATCAGATGACGCTACATGCCGTGGATACTTTGCTTGTGCTGATTTGGGTATCGTTCCTGACTTAACGCCTGTCTGGGGTCAATGCCCAGAGGGACTATTCTTTAACTCTACAAATCAAGCATGTGTTATACCTAGAAATGCAATTTGCACCAATAATCGTTGTGAAGGACGTGGATCTGGTTTGGTAGCAACCAGTAAAAACAATTGTCACAATTACATAATATGCGAAGATGGTAAAACAGTTTCAGAACAATCATGCAGAGGAGATCTGTTCTTTGATGAAGAGCGGCAAGCATGTGTTAAGGACATCATTGAATATACCTGCTGTGATGGACAAAAGGCATAAAACCTATTAATTAATACATACGAATACATATTAATTGTGCAAGAAACAACTTGTTTTTTATTTTTTTATTTTTATTCTTACTGTTTTTAATTTTTTTGTAAATTAAGAAAACAAATATCTGAAATCTAGGCATATAATAATAACAATATCATCTTTAGTAAGAAGATTTATATATTAAATAGACTGAATCTTTTATATTTTAAGTTAATTTATAAATAAATTTATCGAATTAAATCATTAACTACTTTCTTTAGTAAATTTTTACTGGTAAGGTGAATTGCGATATAGAGCGCAACAATCTATGAAATCGTAATGTTTATTATAATATTGAATTATCTTAAAAAGTTTTATATAGACGTTATCTATATACATATTTTGTGAAATTATTCTTTCATCTTTTCAGTTCTATTATACTAAATAAATAAAACGTTTACACTACCTCAGTTAACTTTACAAATGTACAACAATAAATGCTATTTATCATATATAAATCCATTCTTAACTGTAATGGCATCACTATAGGCAAAAGTTGTCTCCAAGTGCAAATGTTCATATTTGGATCAATATGTTCCTTTTAAATATAATAATTAGATTCGATCATTGTATATATAAACATGGTATCACTTTGTTATATTAAGAAACCAGGTTTAATAAATGCACGACTTTATTTACTATCGTTTACACTATACATTAGAGATGAATTTTATCATTAAAAATAAAATTTCTTGCTTCATCTAAAAACCCACGCTAATATTTGCTGAAATAATTTATTATTGTACGTTAACAATTTTTAATAATTTTGCAGAATAAATATGTAACAATTCACAATAATCCTACTACAATTATAAATATTGCATACTTTTCAGCAAAGAATATCTTTAAGATGTTAAATTACTCCATAAGAAGAGTAATTTAAATATGTATTTAATATATTTGTGTCCTCTCCTAATAGAGTTTTTAAACAAACTCTATCTATTTTTAATTATCCCGTTATTTTTATAACATATTGGACTTGTTCAAGCTTCTATACTAATTTAATCATTTTTTTTATCTATTTGCAAAGTTTGCATCAACCCACAAGCCTTCTTCATTATGAAATGTTATTTTAATCTCACTTTTAGAGTGACCTTTTTGCAACGCTCATCTTTATACCGATTAGTTACCGAATCAATTCTGTATTCAGCCGATGACCCAATTCAATACATCGCAATGAATATTCTCTTCTCTTAAGAAATTGTAATATGAACGGTGGTGAATCCTTTCTTTAGTGCTTGCAATAATTTATACAGCTCCTTAAAGCGGTCCAAACTCATGCAAAAATTTTCTTGAAAATAATTTGAACAATTTTTCTGGCAATCCACTATTAATTTTACACTTTTTTCTTAATCAAACTTACTAGTCAAAGTCCAGAACTTTCTCTAGTTTCTAGTAATTATTGAGTAAAGTATTAATTTTTGTAACTCCGCCGTAAACGGTCCCAAGCCCGGTTAAGAAAGAAGGAGGAAAAAGTGCTTGCAAAGGTCTCGTAGCGACATAACCCCATAATGCGAGAAACGCCCACCAAATAATATCTTGACTTCGCAAGCAAAGTCATTTTATAAACGGCGAACGCGATCATCTGCCGTGTCAAATCTAGATAAATGGTTGGTCTTAAGGTTAACGACTTTATACCGTAAAAAAATTTTACCTGTCATGAATATTGAACAACAGCCTCGGATGAGATCGGAACATGAGAAAAGGTCTCGAAATTGTACATGGACTAATGATTTGAAAATAGGATTATGAACTTTGAACATACAAACAATGATGCAAACCGGAAAAATGCACGAGATTGCTGATGAACTAATAAGAAATAGAATAGATATATCCACACTGCTAGAGATCAGATGGCAAGGAAATGGTGAAACAAGAAAGAGAGACTGTAGTATATATTACTGTGGAACGAAGTAAAGAACTGGGCTGTTCTTTAATAAGTGTAGATCCCTCATCGGAAAGAATATATAAAATTAAAATAAAAGAAAAATTTCAAGACATGAATATTATATCATACCACGCACCTACAGAAAGTTTAGAAGAAGAGGATATTGAAGCCTATAAATTGATTCAGCTGCAATGTGAATTTGGTATAATACGTTAATATAAAATATAAATTGAGCTAATTTAATTTTTTGTAATTTTTTTCTGAGCAATTATATATAAAATATATAATAAAATAATATAAGTTTAATTTTTTTAAATAAATTTACGTTATGTATGAAATAGAATATGTATATACATTAGTTTTAATATTAATTAAAACTAATAAAATTAATAATTACTTTTATTAATTTATTATACCTATGTAATAAAATTGCTGTCGACTGAATATTATTTTCAATTTTGTGGCTATTGAAGCGAATATTTCACGCTATTTGGTTACCCAAACAAAATACATGCTTTGGCATCACTAAAATATTTTTTGACAGCTGATTAGAAAAAGCATACAAATAAAAGAAAAAAATAGACAGACGACGGCATTAGTTAGAAATTCTTATACGGAAATTTTAATGTGTAACAATAAATTGATAAATATATTAAAATTATATTAAACAAGAAGAAAGGGAAAATATTTGATTGCCGTTTGATATTATTTGGCCAACATCGGAATATGTGAAATTTATTTGCAAATAAGATAAAGTGAAATTTTTTGTGAAAACGAGTTCTATGAGCAGTGAGGAAATCTTATAAAGAAAACGAAATATCATTCAGTAATTGCAGTCGGCTTTATGTTATTTATAATTAAATTAAATCATTGTAATTTGCCAAGAAAATTACGCAAAAAAAGAAATATATAATATAAAGCGAGTGTTTTCAATATTTTTTGTACGATTTTAAAAGATTTTTTATTTTGTGTATCAATTTTACGCGCTGCCACATTGTCGTCTATTCATTTGTATGGATTAAGTGATGCCACCGTACGGTCTTGTCGTCACATAAAAAGTTCTTTCGTATAAAATTTCGTATATTTTATATTTCGGTTTCAACATTGGTTTTATTTTTAATTTTTGTGTACGTATATTTTAATTAAAATTTTATTTGAGTTCATATATAGTTTAATTTAATTTATTTATAAGTTTTATTTATAAATTCGAAAAAAAAATATAGTGATATCAATAGAATTTTGTTTATTAAATATTGTGTAAATTAATGGAATTATCAAAATTAATTGTGGAAATTTAAAGAGAAAATATATTAAATGATATATTTGCCGCTGTAAAAATGGTATCTAATTTATTTAATATAAAATCACTTATTTTTTATATATTTAAACTTCAAAGTCATGTAGGTGTATTAATATAATAAACCAATTTAAAATATTAAAAACTATATTACAGTGAATTGCTATTTTTACAATAAAATTAATAAATTCAATATGTATACAAATATAAATAAAATATGATATAAACAAATCATCATAAAATTTAAATAAGTGAAGTTTCAGTAAAATATACCTATTATATAAAATATATTTTTGATGTTTTGGTGTTAATAAAATAGTAATTTGTTAAAAATTATAATATAAACAGTAAATAAATAATAACTCCAGTAGAGTATATTATATTTATATATATTATTTGCGATTTTTAATGAATATATCAAAAATTCATATTAATTTTAAACTTTAAATATAGTTTAGACAATTGAAAAATATAATTGAGACATTGAAAAACATTAATATTTAAAAGTTTTTGTAGTACATAATCAATAAATATATATAATAAACTTCCGATAATTGCAATATCATATATAACTGTTACTCACATGCGACACATGCAAAAATTAAATTTATATATGTTAGAAATCATATATGTTTATATAAATTATAAATCCGATATATATTTTAACTTGTTTTTTCTAATAAAATTATTAACTGCTGTTACAATTAGTATATAATTTAAATTATGAAGAGTGTCTAAAGCGGTTGTTACGTTTAAACAAATAAATGTTATATAATAAAATAATATAATTAAATTAAAATTTATTTTTTAATGCAACAAAGAACATAAAAATCTTAAATATTTTAAATAATGTTCTTCAACATATATAAAATAAATATGAATTTTAAATTTCGCCAGTTGCTTTAGATCTCATATATATCAGATATATATTTTTACTTGTTATTTTTAATAAAACTATTAAAATCTATTGCAAATAATATATATTATAAATTATGAAGAGTGTCTAAAGCGGTTGTTACGTTTAAACAAATAAATGTTATGTAATAAAATAATATAATTAAATTAAAATTTATGTTTATAATGCAACAAAGAATAAAAAAAATCTTAAATATTTTAAATAATGTTCTTCAACTTATAAAAAATAAATATGAATTTTAAATTTCGCCACTTGCTTTAGATCTCATATATATCAGATATATATTTTTACTTGTTATTTTTAATAAATCTATTGCAATTAATATATATTAAAAATTATGAAGAGTGTCTAAAGCGGTTACTACGTTTAAACAAATAAATGTTATATAATAAAATAATATAATTAAATTAAAATTTATGTTTATAATGCAACAAAGAAACAAAAAAAAATCTTAAACAATATATTAAATAATGTTCTTCAGTATATAAAAAATAAATATAAATTTTGATTTTCGCCACTTGCTTTAGATCGTGACACGCCCTACTAATATACATATCTGTCTGTAGCCTTAATTCTAGTAAGAGACTTATGAGCAATTAGCGCTGAGCATAATTTTTACTGTTTCTTTTTAACTTTACCAATTCATTAAATATTTTTCCCAAAACTGATCGAATCGAATCGAATACCTGCCATAATACAAATCAATTAAAAAAAGTACGATCACCGCCGCTCTCCATAGAATTAATTCACTCAGAATGTAGTAGGCAACTCATTTTGCTGGTCACTTTTGCAAATAAAATTATTTATTTTACATATTCTGTTTTACGATAGGTTTTTGTATCTATTTGGTAGATTTTAAAAGTTTTCCGAATATGTGAACATGGTTTGTGTGGTTTCTCCGCTTGTATTTGTAACTGTCTAAATGTGTGCGCATAGTAGCGAAGTAGCGAATATCTGACAGATACAAATTCATACAAATTCTCAAGTGAACGCACGCCTAAAAGGAACGTAAAGAGAACATACGTAGAAGACGTAAAAATAGTAGAATAAAAAGAATTTTATCAAACGGCGCAAAGTCGAGGAAAAAAATACTGAAAGAATTCTACGACAACTTCATCAGTAAGTTTTGACAGCGACGCGAGAACGTTTTATTGAAAATACGCGAAACTTTTCATGAGTGTAGTTTTTTTTTATATTCTAATTAAATAAAAAATTATTTTACAATAAAACCATAAACCACCGCTACACTTATGTAAGCCTGTGCAAATTTATAATATAAATTAAATAAATCGCATGGAAATATATATTCCATAAGAAAACAAACCAAAAAAAAAAACAAAAAACCTAAATTCTACATAAGCAGTGAAACTGGCTACAGTATCTCTTAGATATATGTGTTTATTTTAATTTTAAAGATAGCATATCTATTAGATACAAAAAAAAAACAAAATTAAACAAAAAACAAGTGGTGTGCGTCAACATTCCTATGTGCACCTTTTTTTGCTTTAAAAAATCGAGATACAATTAAGTTTAATTGATAATTTGCGTTTTGTATTTGACTACAGTTACGTGATTTTTATAGTCATAAATAAAAGAATTTATGAAATTTGTGTTTGGCGAAAGTTTTATTAAATATCGCATTACTTGTAGGAAATGTCACATCACAGCGATGATCAACTCTTACAGGCTGGCAGTGATTCTTTTTGGGAGCCCGGCAACTATAAACGTACCACTAAACGCATTGAGGATGGCTACAAGTTCGTATTAATTTTGTCATTGTATTTATATTTTTGCTATGATTATTTATTTGTTTGTTGCACACTACACTTTAGTTCGGCATTTTAGTTCTATAGCAGATAAGGTTCTAAGTACATTATAACAAAAAAATTAAATTTAAATAAAAATAAAAGAAAGTATTAACTATTAAGCCTGGTGCTAACATCTATTTTGCAGGAAATATTTACATTAAATTCTATATATAAAAAAAAGTTCCACAAAATTTGGATATAATAGAAATTCTTTTTATAAGAAGCTTTAAATTAAATTTTACAACATTTGAAGTAAGTTAGTACTAAACTTCCTTATGATATATGATATATATGATATAATTAAAAAAAGTATATAAAGTTATAACATGAGTCGGTAAAGGATGTCAGTACTAGGCTTTATGACAAAATTAAAAAGAGTATGAAAAGTTCTTATATGAGTCGGAAAAGGATACTAGTACTAGGCTTTAAGATAAAATTAAAAAAAATTATGATAAGTTCTTACATAAAAAAGAGATTTTTATATTAAAAAATATTTCTGAGTGACGCTATTTAAAAGAAAATTTATTTCTTTTTTTGTAATTTGATAATATATACTATTCTTTCAAAGTATTTAAGCGTAAAGATGCTCAAGAAATTCCAGCGTACTTGCTTTCAAACATTTTAAAAGTTCAAGAATGTTCCAGTTAAATTTTAGTTTCGTCGGAAAAGGACACTAGTACTAGACTTTAGGATAAAATCAAAAAAGTATGGAAAGTTCTTATATGAGTCGGAAAAGAATATTAATATACTACTACTAGGCTTGATGATAAAATTAAAAAAAGTATGAAAAGTTCTGATATGAGTCGGAAAAGGATGTTAGTACTAGGCTTTATGATTAAATTAAAACAAAGTATGAAAAGTTCTTATATAAAAAAGATTTTTATATTGAAAAATGTTTTTCAGTAACGTTATTATAAAGAAAAACAATATTTTTTACACCAGATAATAGATAATATTCTCTCAAAGTATTTATGCACAAACTTTGAAGAGTTCCAAAGTTAAAAAAATGTCGAATTACTTAAAGATATATAAGCTATCTCATTCAATATTAGTTTTATTTAATGTAAATAGCAATCTAAATTTAATTTAAATAATTATTGTGTATTGCGCATGATATGCCATATGCACTCTATAAGAAAAAACAATTGTTATTTTTTATGCAAAAACGAACATTAATTGCCCTTCATATTGAAATTGTGTCTTCTTTAAAACAACAGCAGTGAAGCAATAAAATTTGCTACTTTCCTAGGCAAAAAAAGTGCGCAATGGCATCAGTTTTGCCCCCATAGAGCTCCCAATGGGGATATGGTTATAAACTGTAGCTTTATCCCACATGACGTCTGTCATCTATTTTTCTCCCGCGTTAATGCAAGCACGTATTTAAACCTATTAATCACTGTGTTAGCCTTGTTTTTGCCCTCAACCTAAACTATTTACAATTATTGTCCACACTCTTATTCATCTTGCATCCCAAACAATCATACTTCCTATTCTCACGTACTCGCATTTCAATCATTTATTCATATTGTAAATCCATTTTTCTACTATATAAAACTGCTGTAGCAACAATAACATTATTATTTTTTTACATTACATTATATTAAAAGCCAAAATTTTTATTTGTAATCTAACTTCGACTACTTGAATTATAAATAATTACCTCTTCAATATTCCAGATAACTCTATTAGTTCCTAAATAAATTACAAATGCACAGTCGGATAAAAGTCGCTAAACTTAATCATTCTGATCAATGACGTATGTGCTCCATACGTTTCCTGTGCTATGTTTCCTTCTGTCGATTACAAATATCTGGACAAACCTAATATAACGTTTAATTACAATATTCTGAAGCGTACAAAAATACTATTGTTATTGTTGTTTTTGCCTAATTTGTCAGCATTTGGATCCCTGATGAGAGGTCATATCTCTCACTTGTACATCTGTACAGAAAAGTGGCTTTTTTCCAATTAGTATCGTTTCGAAAGTGAATATGAAAACAATCTTCCTTTTTAATTAAATGAACAAGCGAATGTAGTCTTACTTTCATACTTATTTAGCCATTGCAACCCATAACTGGGTTTCGACTTGCCGCAGCCTGTCTTTTAAGGCTCGTCTGCTGCATATGCACCTTTAAGAGCTAGTGTAGCTACTATTTCTTTAAACTCTTGATGTTATTGTTGCGATACAATTCACACATACAGTGCATTCCAAATAATACAGATTATGCTAATAATGCTTGTAGAATTATTCTTCCAAAAGCTGTCAAACATCGTTTATCATTTGTCTTTACCAGCTGTATTTGTATGCTATATAATAATAGTGGACATCCATTATCTACTAAACCATAGTAACATGAAATGAAAATAGTGTTCCTTCCTTTAATAAGATTTAAAGTTGAGACTTTAGTTGTTATTAATATTAATTAATGGTTTGTATGTTAAAAAAGTCTTATAAATATCATATATTATCTTAATAAGTTAGGCTAATTGAACTAGTCTAGTTTACTCCGTCTATATAAACATTTGTATATATATTGAATGTTTAATTGCTAAATAAATGACCAAATAACACTGCACTCTTTTTAAATTAAGGCAGATCCGATTTAATTATGAAAGAAGTATTTGACTATATATGTCATTTATTGACTATTCAAAAACTATATCTAATGTGTTTATTATAAGAAAAATGAAATTCTGGTGTACATGTACCCTTAGAAATAGTTTAAGAAGCAGACGTTAACTTTTTTCTCCACGTCTTTTACTTCCCCATTGCTTCTCATGAAGATATTACAAACTTGCATCCATTGGTTTCACAAAAATTGAGATATGTTTCTGCTATACTACGAACATTATTCTGTGGTGATGACTTTTTTGATTCATGTTTAGGATTACAAATTTAAAATTGATGATGTGATTATGAAAGTAAAAGAAGAACTAACAAAAGTGTAACACCCCGAATCGGAAGAACTATTAAAGTAAAATTTATATCAAACTAAATAATAACAGACAGAAATCTACATGGAATAAGAATTTTACAGAAAGTGGAAAATCGGGTACCATATCAGTCAAAAGACATGAAGATTAAACTCACGATAACGATTTTAAATTGTTACTCGACAAACAAGAAAACAATATTTACATTTTTAACATTTATCTATGATGATAACTCAAAGTGTAAACTAACATATATAAAACATGGTGAGGCAGGGCAATTAAAACCAATACGAAATATTCATATCAAAAAGATAATACTTTGCGTTTATTAGAATCAGAAAGGAATTGTATACTATGAACTGCTTAAAATGACACTATTACAGTATGATCGCTACCAAGTACCACTTATATCCGACAAAGATCTGGTGGGAAAACGTTCGGAATAAGAAATTCAACATTGAAACAGTTCTTCAACATAAATATGTTAGACCTGTAGTAGCAATCTAATGAATCTGTAGTGTAATGAGTTCAATATCACAACAATGAATTGGACGACGTATCACATAGGTATTTTAATTTCCTATATCACTTTAGCTTTAAATCCAGAACATATATGAATGACTGTTTAATAATTTGATGATTAATACATTAAATATATTAATAACATTCCTTTAATAATCTAGTACTACTGAGAAGCTTAGTTCTAGATTTTTTCTAATATTAAAGCTTCTTCTGATTTGGTGAATTTGCAAAAATGGAACAAAAAACTAACATATTTGCATAAAAAATATTTTTTTTTCACCACTAAAAAGCACCTCTTCATTTCCCAGTAATTGCAATAACACCTTTACTTTGTTTAGTGAATGAACCTGTTACTGTCTTACTAGGAATATGAGGTGTATTACTGTTTATATGGGTTATGCGACTAATTTGTTTCTTTGTTTGTGTAATTCTGCATTTTTTTACAGCTATTGGATTAGGAAGTGCTACCAAATCTACCCTACTAAATCTGATTTAACTCCTACTGATATCCAACACAAATTTTGAATCGAATTTAAATATAATGTCCGCAAATATTAGAATAACAGTGCAGCGAATTGATAGTTCTTAAAGTTATATTGAAAAATAACTAAAAGCAATTCAAAAATAAACTTATAGAACAGATCCACTATTATGCATGAGCACTATGTGATATAATCAACTCATTTCATACATCTTGTTCTTCCCAAAATAATAAAAAGTCCCAGCTTAAAATTTAATTTATTTGCTGCGTTCAATTTGCCAGCTATCTTATAGCACATTAACACTATCTCATTTAGGTTGTTTTACTCATATAACCATTAATGAAGTTGATTTACCATACAAAAATCTTTCATATAAATGAGCTCATTAACAATAAATCAGCTAATTTAAGGTGAAAAATTACGAATGTAACTCTTAAAAATAAATTTCTCACAAATTAATAAAATTTGAAATATATGTCGTATGTTTTATATATAAAATGTAAACAAACAACAGTTGAGCTGTAATAAACAAAGGCACTAAGGAAATAAGTATTCAATAAAATTTTTGTTTTTATTAATTGAATATGTAATTGATATATGAAATATATGTAAATGATTTAATAAATCAATTATACATTTAATATTTTTATGTGGTGTATTAATAATATAAGTTTATAAAAGTTCTATCAGCTATATAAATGAGCTCATTATAATGTGAACATTTCATCATTAATATAAATGAGCAAGTGTCTAAATGATACAGTGTGAATGTACTATTTGCTAAGCGAATTTTATCTTAACTGATTTATTTAAAATGAAAATAAAACAACAACTTGGCTAATATATTAAATTTGCAGTGGTATCATGTTTTCACTGCAACTAAATCAATTTATATTAATCAAAGTAAGAATTGGTCGTTTCCATTGCATAAAATGATTTATCATTCTGAAAGATCTGTTATATGTCAGAAAGTTCTGGATACCTTTTGTTTGTTTACATTTTAACTGTTAGTAGATAATATTTTGTTTTGTATTGTTAGCAGAATTAAATTAATTGATCATTAATTGATTAATTAATTAAAAATGCAGAAAATGTAAAAAATGTCGTATATGATATCTATTTATAAAAAACAAACGTTTTAAAGAATTCTTACCGCTTGTTTGTCAAACAAGAGTCAACAAACAAGTTTGTTTGTTTTTTGTTTATTTACATTTTGTTTTATTTGTAAAATATGTCAAATTTCGATCATTTAGGGATATGTTTCTTGACATTTTTGGTGTAATTTTCTTTTATGTATTCTTAACTAAATTAAAAAGCTTTGCACGGTTAATCAAATTTCATTAGCTGTCTAAATAAACTGCTTTATCGAAAGCAATGGGAACATGCTATTAGGCAAAATATCTTGCGAATTGAAAGTATCAGTTGAAAGACTAGTTTATCTACATTGGGAGAAAAAGAAAGACAGATATTGTTAAACTGTTTTATCGTACATATCGTATTGATCACGAATATACACATAAGATTTCCGAAGTTATTTTTATTGCTTTATCGCTTTAAAATTTTGAAAAGTTTTATATATTCTTTTACTTCAATATCAACAGAAATTTAAATATTATTCTATATCTTATTTTATTTTTTTTAATTTATTGAATCTTCTAAAAAATCAAAATAGAACTAACAATAAGTTTTCGCTGCTAATTTCAGTATTAGAAAAGAAAAAAGATGATTAATTGTTCTTAGCCAAACCTTCGTCCAAAATCGTTTCCATGTTAAGCGTTATTCTTCAATAATCGGGTTTATATAGTTCCTTTTGAATCACTGGGTTTCAGTTTCTACAGTACCAAGATTTCTATTATATATCTTGATCAAATTTTAATGTAATATAAAAAATAATTTTCCGACATTGAGAATGATAAACAGATAACAGGGCTCTTTTACTCTTTGATAGCTGAGGGTACTATAGGGTCCCACCCATCTCATTGCCTAATTTATGTTTTTCTTATAAGCTTTATGATTATTCAGTGATTGATCTAAGATCTGCGTACCTCCCAGTGCGTAGAGTGATTAGTTAGTGCTAAGTAGGATAGCCTGTCAGTTTTCGCATATAACTTCTGTCCCTTATGTATTTTTAGATCGGGTCTATTCTAAGGTCTCTTAGCATATCGTTTGTGCGGATGTACCAAGGCACTTTGAAGAGTCTTCGGAGAGCCTGACTTTGAGCAAAGATATCGATATATCTATCTAGTCATAGTGATCAGAAATAGATACAGTTTCCAACCTCATCTTTACTGCGTTACAAACATTTTGACAAACTTAACATATGATTTAATCTCAATAGTTTATAATTTTTTATATTATTACATTTTAATATAATTATATATGCTAACATGTTTTTATTATTTAAACAGTATATTTTTTTTTAACAACGAAACATTTTTCTGAATTAAAAATAGATATTTAGGTGTCACTAAAATAAACATTAAGTATATTTGAATATGATAAATAAATAAATAAATAATATAAAAATACCTTTACATATACGTAATATTGTTTATTGACTATAAAACCTAAGGTAGTGCACATTCACGTTATTATAGATTTCAAATTTATTGAATACTCGTTTTATAAAATAGAAACTAGTTCTGCCACTAAAGGTGTCTTCTTTACTGTATTCGTCACATTCCAATAAATTTTGTCTAAAATTTTTTATTAAATACAAAATACATTTGAATATATTTATAAATTCTCAACTATTATTTATCTTCATTGACAGACTTTGTAACGACTTGCAGCAATTAATACAGGAACGTGCCGATATTGAAAAAGGTTATGCGAAAAATTTACGCGCCTGGTCAAAAAAGTGGGCAGAGCTAATAGAAAAAGGTAAGATTCGCACAGGTTATGAATTAAAATAAATTAAATTAAATTAAATTAGTGAACTACATGAGTATCTGGCAGTATTACCAATAGTTTCGTGCCCGCCTGCACATTTACTCGTACGTGTGTATTTAGTTCACTTCTACGTTCTACGAAGAACTTAAGATTAGTATTTTCCTCCATGCTTATAGATAAGATTGTGTGTTTGTAGGAGAGTGTTTAACTTTACAAAATAGTTTCAGTATTTGTTGTAATTTCAACTATTTATGGGTCTTCTGTCTACTTTTCAGAATTATTTCTTTTGTTGTGTATTTTTTTTATTAGCACTTTCGTCACCATATCATTTATGGTCTTACGTTGCTACCTTGCCAGTGCAAATTTGTACTAATTTTTTTTAATGAATATTTGAAAATATTTGTTAAATATTTTTTGTTGCTTTTATTTTATTTTATTTTATTTATTTTTTTTCATTACTGGCATTGTTATGATTTTGTGGGACACGCTTTAGCGCGGAAATTTGGTACTGTTTTTTATATATTTCATTTCTTTATGTACTCGTATAACACTAAACTGTGTAATTTATAACAATTATTTATGTTCAGTACAATAATCGCTAATATCTCAGATACTTTGTGTTTATAGGCCTAAATAAAGTTAGAAATAAAGTAATGTAAACAGTCAACAACGGAAATCTAAGTTTGGGTTTTATCTTAAATAGAACAGAAATGTGTAAGGAATTAATTAATTTTTCTAGCATAGATATATCAATCAATGTATAATACGATGTAATAGATTTTACTGCAAATTAACTCAATACTATCTATATAGTGAAATTATATACACAGGTGAACATAGACAACTTATAATTATAATTACTATTATTATTATAATTGGCATGTTCGGAGTTAATAAACTTAATGGCACGATTCCGAATTTCCGGATACACCAACAACGGATTATAGTAAAGTTATGAATATTGAGTAACTTTTTCCACAATGCTGTGAGCGGATATAGCTTACTTCGCAAAATATTGTGCTATAAATTTGTAAACCTTAAATTATTTACACTAAAAAAATACAAACGCCATCTAACGTCAGGTGGTCTATAATGAACACACAAAAACTGTTAACAATAGGTGAATGCAACGTTTTGGACGTGTACTTATTGTTGGTGGGTTCTATATACTAATTTCCAACTTTAGAACCCAATATGTCAAAAATCAAGTTGCTCAGAATAGTTTACCTTTCATTGTCAAATGGGCGAGATCGAGAAATTTGAATCGTAAGAATTTGAGAAGTTAATATTCTCTACAATTACTTAGATTGTTAATATTAGCAAATATATTAAACATCAAAAATACAAAAATAATATATAAAAACTAATTATACTTTTTTCTCTCCATAAAGGATAGGTAGAGTTGGGAATATCCATAAATAATACATGGTATATAAGATATACATATATTAATGAAAATTGTGGAATAGATATTGGTCTATATTCAGATACGTGAACTTAAGATCTAATATCAAGTATTAATATGAATAGTCATAGTATTATGAATATTAAATAAATTAACTGACTTTGTTAGATTCAAAACGGTCCCTAGAATAGTAGTAAGAATATTTCTAAGAGACACTATTTATCTCTTTAAAACAATATGGTTTTTGACAGGTTTTTGATTTTAATATAACTTTCGTAATAGTTATTCTTCAAGTAATCGTAGACTGACCAGAATTTGTGTAATGTTTGTGACATCCATAGTTTTCTAATGTTAATGAATTAAGTTTAACTTAACTTTAAGATTTATTTGACAACTCCATATTGTTGAGTTATATTTTTTTTGTCATCCTCATCTCCCAGTGGAGCATAGGGCCTTGTTGAGCTATACACAATAGTCTAATGTTGAAGATAGCCCATTGCCATTGATTTTCAATAACCATCTAGTTATGATATCTATTATTATATCTAGTTTAAAGTAAACTTAATGCTCTGTTTTGTATGGTCCATAAAGTTCCAATATAAGTTTTAAATCAAGTATTACTTGCATTCTAATCGAGCTTTATATACTCGTTTTTCACATCAACTAGCGTTTTCCACTTGGTAGATAATATACAGCAGAGGTCTTCAAATTCATGTTAAGTGTCTGTGTATACAAAACTCACCTCAAAATTCGTAACATATGTTTTGCGAGGAAATCCAAATATTATATCTGACGTAAATCTTAAGTCTAACTTTAAAATTACCATATGATAAGGCATTGATTGTAACTTTTTATGTGTTTACGATAGGAGCACTAAGTCATTTGCGTAGACAATTTATTCTAATGTTTCTTTCATTTTTTCTTGGATATCAGATTTATTTGAAGCTATATACTTCGCCGTTTAAATAAAAGAAAAGTTATGACGTCGTTCTGCCTGACACACTTGTAGACACAAACGGTTCTACTGCATTTTAAATTATAAAGACCATCAACAAAGTGATTTTCTACAAATTTTTAAAGATCGAGATTATGGTATCCCTCCATTTTGTTATAGTATTCCTCTGCGTTATAGTACTTGCCGTATAAATTCTCTATATATTGTATCAAAACTGTTTTCAAACTTCAATTATTTTAGAGGAACTTAAAGAAGTTCCAAGGCTTAACCACAAGTTTATGATATATTTTCTCTTTTTAGATTTTCTATAAATTTTGGTCATATCTCTGATAAAGTCTACGTCTATAGCTTTATCAGAGATATACTCGCCGTAAAATATTTTCATGGGATTCTGTTTAAACATAACACTTTCCCGAATTTTAGTTTATTTATAGGTTTCATTTATAGGTTATTTTCGAAAAGAATATTAGGTATATTTTTAGAGGTAAAAGTGTTCTTCAGTTTCCAAACTCTTATAAGAATTCCGTTTTTCTTTAAATTTAAATCTATTTTCAGTCTAATAAAACTATAAACTCAAACCAGCAATTGATTAAGCATCTTACAAAAATGAATTTAATTACAGTGTCACATATGGTTTTTATTTTCATATATCTAATATATATTTCATAGGTATTGATTGTGAAAATGGCAAAATCCCACCGGTCTGTAAAACCTTTATTTATGGATTGATAGAAATGAGTAGTTAGTTAACATAAATAAGGATTTAATATATTTTTAGTATTATTTCAGACATCACAATACGAATAATTTGGATTTTCTTTACTCATTATCAGTCACAGTACGTCAAGTAAAATATTAGTCATACAAAATTGTAATCTCATCAGAAGAAATTTTCAAACTAATTCTGATAAGTTAAAAAATTATAGCTCTTCGTATTTATTTTTATGATAAATATAAAATAAATGGAGTTTTTAAAAATTTTATATAGGCCCTTGAACTGATATGTGATGTAATCAATACTAAATATGGAAATGTAGAATGTGACTGCGTAAGAGTACTAATAAAAAAAATGTATGCGTTTTGATTTTGAAAAGTAGTTTACAAGAAAACGGTGAGTGATAGAAGGAAAATTTTTTAACTAAATTTTTTAAAATATTTTAATATCACAAGGTATCGAAATTTTACAAAAATATTGTAAAAAATGTAAGAATACAATAGAATGTAATAGAATAGAATAGAATAGAATAGAATAGAATAGAATAGAATAGAATAGAATAGAATAGAATAGAATAGAATAGAATAGAATAGAATATAATAGAATAGAATAGAATAGAATAGAATAGAATAGAATAGAATAGAATAGAATAGAAGATAGAATAGATAGATAGAAATAGAATAGAATAGAATAGAATAGAATAGAATAGAATAGAATAGAATAGAATAGAATAGAATAAAATAGAATAGAATAGAGATAAACAAGATACCAGCTCCAACAAAGCGGAGCACTGCGACCATAGTTGATCTTTTGTGCTGCAACAGACTCTAATCGAACAGAAGATGTTTCACCTTTTGAATGAAAGCCAGAATGTCATGTGTTGAGGATTTCCAAATGTCAGAAGGGGAGTCGATAATCTATCTCTTTGGGCTGACCCATTTTGTTAAACTGATAATACAGTCCATGAAGACCCATTAAATATTCCACCAGCAACCTCAACTCTGTTCTGTTAAAGAAGCATACTTTACCGTGACTGTATGGATGAACCAACTCCTTAGCTTGACGATTACCTGGAATATCGCGCCAGTAGCTACTTCTCTTGGTTGAAAACCAATTTTTCAATCAGAGACCTTATTGTAGATCATTTTAATCTACAATATGGCTCCGGTCCACAAACAAAAATGCAATATTCTGAAAAAATTAATTTTGTAGCATCGTAATTTTCGAATCTGTGTTAATAGAAGGCCAAATCCTATATTAAATTTAAGGATATTTCATGGACTAAAAATTGGTTGGCAAAACGATTTGAATGAACCGCTTTTGAAATGTTAAAGATTGTTGTACTGAAGATTGTTTTTGGGTAGACTCTGGTCATGTATCTACATAAATATTGATGCCTAACAAATAGTTACGATTTTCGAATAAAGTATTTATAAATTAATAATATTCAATTATTTTAAAAAACTAAGCATACACTAACACAAATTTAAACATAGTTTTTTTTCTTTGAAAATAATGCATCTAACATACAATGTGATTAAATGTTGGAAATTATATATTGTGCAAATATAGTATTTAAATCATTTTACTTCAAACATTTTTAATAGTTGTAATAAAAAATAGTAAACCAGTTAAGTAAATATTTTAAATCACTCAACATTATGGTGAAATTATATTACTAGAAAATCAAAGCCTATGGAAAACCAAGTTATCTACCTTACATAAATAGCAATTGTTGCGCTTGCAGGTCAACAAATGAGCCTATTTTGCCCATTTTTCACTTTCTTAAACAGCTTTTCTATTTGCATTAGTTGAAAATTTGTAAGTCCCCTTGTCGCTTTATTGAAGATTGAAGATATGTTTAAAATAATAATAAAATATTTAAAAAATGCTTAATAATCTAACTGAAACAGGTCGAACAGCTTAAATGATGATGTGCTTTGTCGCTTAGTGTGCTACACTTTTAAATGGTATATTTAGTTTAAAATTAAATTACTTACATGAGATATCACTAATGTTAAAATATTAAAATCGTGTGGTATTTGCATTAAATAAAATTATATGTATATAATTACTTTAATAAAATATTGTATAAATAAATAATGGATAGATTTTAGTTATATAAAATTTGTTCAACCATAACTTTCATAAACAATTTATAATTAGCTAGAGATATTATAGTTTTTCCAACACTATTATAATTGGCATTATATCAGTGTAAATGCATGTTTAATTTTATAATTTAATAACACTGTCATGTTCGTTAAGGTACACCCTACTTAAAAAATATTGGGTTAAATAATTTTAAATTATCATTCTTAAAAATAGTACAACAGTTTAAATTTATATATATATTTATATAGTTCAGACTGTAGTGCATTTATATGCACTACAGCTTCAAGACATCTCTTGTATAGATCTTATATTTAAGCTAAACCAGCTTTATGTTATTCATATTATTCACACATCTTTCACAATTTTCACATACTATATTAATTTAATTTTTAATAGAAATTAATCTAGATAATGATTCCTTTATCCAAGAAACGAAGTAATCATATAAAAAAGGAAAAATTGCTTTAGTACAGTCAATTTCAAGAGATGTTTTGTGTAAATTTTATATTTAAGTGAAACCAGTTTTAAACTACTTAAGATTCATCCTATTCACATAGCTTTAACAATATTCACAAACTATATTAATTTAATATTTAATACAAATTAATGTAGATAATGATACCTTTATCCAAGAAATGAAGTAATCGTATTGAAGAGGAAGAATTGTTTCATTTCAGTCAATTTATTGTTCTTCTAATCATGGTTCTAATAAAGTAATTCTTGCTTTCGTTTTTTTTCAAAATTATATTAAATTAACAATATTAAAATATATAACTATAAACTAAAATAAAAAATTCGAATATTCAGTCAGCCAAATTTCAAGAAATTAATTAAATTTTTATTATTGTTTTTTCTTCATTACTATTTGAACCCTTCTAGTTTCTTTTCATCATAAGACACATCACAAAAAAAATTTGAAATATAGGTTAAAAATATAGGTTAAAATACGATAATTCCTAAAGACTCTGTCACGAAGATCAAGAAACTATAGCATACAGCAATAGTTATCTAACTTCTGGGAATAAATATTTCAAAGCCTTATCTAAGTCCTAAATAATTCCTGTAGGTTCTGTCACGAAGATGAAGAAAAATAATACCATAAAGCATTAGTTATCTAATATCTGGGAATAAATATCCCAAAGCCTCATTTAATTCCTAAATAATTCCTATAGGCTCTGTGACAAAGATTAAGAAACATTATAACATACAGCATTAGTTATCTAACTTCTGGGAATAAATATCCCAAAGTTTCAATTAAGTTCTAAATAATTCCTGTAGGTTTTGTCACGAAAATGAAGAAAAATAATACCATAAAGTATTAGTTATCTAATATCTGGAAATAAATATCCCAAAGTCTCAAATAATACCTGAATATTTCCTGTAGGTTTTGTCACAAAGATTAAGAAAAACCAGAACATAGCATTAGTTATCTAATATCTGGGATTAATTATTCCAATGCCTCAATTAATTCCTGAATAATAACAATTCCTAACTTATGGGAATAATATCTCGAAGCCTGAAATAAAATTGAACTGTCGAAAAAATATGTTTAGATGACGATGACTTATGTAGGCTCTATTATGAGAATTAGGTATATATCTATACAGCGTATAGAATCAATTATCTAGGATCTGGTATTTTAAATTCAGAACCATTAATTAAATTTAAACTTGCAACAATTATTAGATGTATAGTTTATAGGTCGTAGTGCATATATGCACTATATTATAATTTTAATAACTATAAATATAAACTGATTTTTAAATAATTATTTGTTTACGTTATAGATCGGTTATAGATCTGAAAGTAAATATGGTACACTTATATATTTTTATATCAAAATAATAATTATAATGAAATAATAACGTTAATAGTTTATTTAGTTTTTCCAGAAATTTTTAAAATTTTTCTAATTAATTCTTTTTTTCTCAGATTTTGAACTTAAAAAAGTTTATTTGCGACCAGATAATGTCTTGTCTTGAAATTCGAAATTATTTATAAAATAAATATTTTAGTCACTAGTTTTTATTTAGCTTTTATCATATTTATTTTATAATGTATTGCAGCAGCAGTTTCCTACTATTCTTTAGCGATATATGATTTAACAGCAGTAGTACTACTTCACTTTATCTATTGCTGATTCAACAATGAAATATGCAAAATACAATTCATCAATGAAACTAAATATCTAAAATGTTATTATATTTTATAAACTTTTTTTTATCTTTGCTTGTTGAGTTATTATTTCATTCCTAAATGGTCAAATGAAGTCATACGTTGCGAGCTCAACGTATTTGACAATATTTTTATTTAATTTTTGCATCAACTCTCATTGTTTCGCTTCGACATCAACGGCGGATGCGTTATGCGATGTGAGTTCATTTAAACCTCTTCATTTTATTTGTGGGATTCCATGGGCTTCAAAAATCAATATTTAATACTATACAAAATATAAACAATAATAGAAACCGTTTGTATACAAATTATTTATGCTTGTACGCAAAAAGAAGTGAAAAATAAATGCAAACAAAACGATAAACAGCTTTGAAAGGCTTAAATTGATTGATTTTTCTTAGGAATCGTATGTTGAACTTTAAGTTACTGTACAAGAAATATGCTCTAGAATTGTTAAACAACAGCACAAGATATATTTATTTTCTTTTTCTCAAATTTATATATAAAAAATATTAAGTTTTATAAGTAACGTTTCTCTTAATATTAAATAATTACAAATATTTCATTCAATATATTGGTACTTTCCTATATTATTATGTTGAAGCTAGTTGAGTCAGTGCACCTGAGCACTTTTACTCTCTATTAACAGCGATGTTTCTTCAAAACCCCTCTCTACGTCTTGACTGGATTTTTGTTTATCTCTTCGTCAGACTAACCAATAATTGACCTCTGATCTGCATACCTCCCCGAGAGGCCTGCAACCATTCTGAGATTCGATAACGCGGTGTTGGTAAGTCTGTCAGTTTTTGTAAATAATTTTAGGGCTCTATCCTTTATGTATTTTTTGGTCGGATCAATCTTGAGATCCCTGAGGATGTTATTCGTCCTAATGTACCATGGTACCACTGGAATAGTCTTCTTCCTATATAATTATGTTGAAGCTAGTTGAGTCAGTGCACCTGAGCACTTTTACTCTCTATTAACAGCGAGGTTTCTTCAAAACCCCTCTCTACGTCTTGACTGGATTTTTGTTTATCTCTTCGTCAGACTAACCAATAATTGACCTCTGATCTGCATACCTCCCCGAGAGGCCTGCAACCATTCTAAGATTCGATAACGCGGTGTTGGTAAGTCTGTCAGTTTTCGTAAATAATTTCAGGGCTTATGTATTTTTCGAAGCTGAAATTACTGATATAGTTGACTGAGTTGGGTTAAAGAGAATAATTACCCAGTGACATTATCTTTATCTGATTTTGCTATATTATTAGAGCGTGTGGAATTTCCTGAACCTCTTATTGAAATTATCGTGGAACCTAAAACTGCTTCAGATCAGGAAAAATTAAGTGTTGCTTTAAATAAATTGGTTCCAGAAAATCCTTCTTTAATAAACTCAGTAAATGAGAGTGTACAGAAGTGTGGACAGACTATATTGAAAGGCATGGGTGAGCTGCATCTTGAGATTATTGTTGACAAAATGAAGCGCGAGTTTAACGTTAAAACTAAATGCAATAAGAGTTGGTCCACCCCATAAGAATATTTGTCATGATACCGAATTCTGTTTAGGCCCTTTTTATTAGTAAGTGCATACCGTCATCTATATATTTTCTATATACTCACATGTTGCATATATGTTGCATATATCTCTTGGTACTCAATAAGTGGTTTCATTCCACAACTCTATACTTCATATCGTTTTCGATAACTATATTTTTCGATAACTATAATTGTTAGAAAAAAACTTAAGCTGCTGATTTGAATAAATTTTCAAATAGTATATACTAATATACTAATACTTATATGGTATATATTTTTTCAAATCATTTACTTGAGAATGTTGTTTTATCTTTATAAACCCAGAAACTCAATTTTGTAGTTCTAAATATTATTAAATTTCTTAAATTTCTCGAATTATTTACTAATACTGGTTTTGATTGTAGGTCCAGAATATGGTACCAACGAAGCAGCATGGAAGGGTGTGTTAACTGAATCAGAACGTGTCTCCGATGTGCATATGAAAATAAAGGAGAATCTTTGTAATGATGTGAGCACACAAATAAAAACGTGGCAAAAAGATAATTACCATCACACACTTATGCAAATAAAAGAACGCAAAGATATGGAAGAATTATTTAAAAAGGCGCAGAAACCATGGGCCAAACTCTTAGCTAAAGTAGAAAAGGCTAAATCGGATTATCATGCTGCCTGTAAAACAGAAAGAAGCGCCACCAATCAAGAACGTAATGCTACGGCGGACAGTTCATTGTCGCCGGATCAGGTGAGTAAAATTAAAAATATTGCAGAAAATTAGATTAGAAATACTCGCTTAAACTATTTTAGTGTCTTGGTTTTTTTTTTGATTTATTTTTTTTAAAGATAAACTAAGCATAGAATTTTAACCTTTGTGATAGATAAATGAGCAAATACGTAAGAGCCAAAGATAAGTGTATAAAAAAGATTTTTTTATGAAACCATTAATTATGTATATATAAATTCTTTTAAACACGTGCTGTGCTTTAGGCAAAAAAAAATCCATTGAGAAATAAAGACTGATGTACAAATGGAATAATCATATTAGCATTACATATTTTTGCGCAGTTTTCATTTGAATATCTTTATATGATTTGTATTATCTCTCTTCGGTTAGTATTCTCTTATCTTATCAATAGTTTTCGATATAAACATTAGATCATTTGGAAAAAATTATGTGAACATTAAAAGTTTAATAAGTAAGAAATGGCAGTCTTATGATTCTTTTAAATAAGACTGAGCTTAGAAGGTCCGATCATAATGTAATGCGAATTTTTAATTTTTAAATTCTTTTTTTGGAAAGTATTTATTTAATCTTCAATACTTTACTGAGCTTCTTCAAAGATACTTCCTTGATATTATGGACTATCGTAGCTTTCAAATTCATAACAGCTGCTAGAATGTATGGTGGTGTTGAGTTCGCTTTGTGGGTTTACTTTTATCTTAACTGTTCTGCAAAAATTTTGTTCGTTTGGAATTAATAGAAGTCTTTAGGAGCCATGTCTGGAGAATAGGATGACTGAGGCATTGCTATGTTGTTTGAACCAAACGTCGAGAAGAGAAGTAATATCGAGTAACGTAAAAATAAGGATAAGGGAATATATAAAGATGTTAGATCTATAATAAGTTTAGATAAAGGTTTGCCTTCATTAATTTATGAATTCACAGTGCTTATATACGTGGGCGCATTTGGGCATGAAAACAGATAAGTGGCATCATATAAAGTAAAGCTGCAATTGGAGCAAATATATTTATGTGTGACAAGTAACTTCTATATGGTTGTGTAGCGTTTAGCAAAGCTTCGAACACTACTATTCACCAGCTAGAAATTGCACAAAGCCAGGCTCTGAGAAGACTTTTCAAAGTTCCATGGTACATTAGGACGAATGACATCCTCAGGACCTCAAAATTGATCCGATCAAAAAATACATTAGGGATAGAGCACTGAAATCATTTACGAAAACTGACAGACTTACCAACACCGCATTATCGAATCTCAGAATGGTTACAGGCTCCTCGGGGAGGTATGCAGATCTGGGGTCAATTATTGCTTAGTCTGATGAAGAGATAAACAATAATCTAGTCAAGGTGTAGAGACGGGTTTTGAAGAAATCTCGAGGTAAAAAAGAAATAAGTGCTTAAGTGCACTAGCTTAAAACAGCTTCAACATAATATAAGTAACTACCACATAGCTATATCCTAATCTTAATTGAGTAAGCAAAGTTCTTGCTAAACAACAAAGATATATTTTATCCCTAGAAATATAAGGGCCTATTGAGAATCTTACTGTTAGGCAATCGTGATCTCAAAGAGTGGTACAACCTTGGTGTAGAGTCTATATTATGTTAAAATTATTCACGAACTAATTTTGCGACTAGTTTTTAGAGAATATTTTGATACTACTTGTTTCATGTCTGTAACATTCATAAAAATTGTTTCGCATGAACCACACATCAATCCTATATCTTCAATTCTCACCTCCCTAATGATGATTCTACTAGTATAAGAAACACAAATTATTCAATTTTTTCAACTTAATTGTTATTGATGGATCTATTTAAATACTCAGATCTCATGCCGTCTTTAATGTTTTTTCTAAAAGCGTTTATAGCACTCTTTACATAGTATCGTTGCCAAAGGCTTTATTGAAAACATATAAGGCCTTTAGTCAAAGGCATGCTTACATCTAATGATGTCTAGTCTATAGGCAGTCAGTGAGGTAAATTTCTATATAATAGAAATTTTAAAATAGCGGTGTGGTTATACAGAGATCTCAGTTTTTCAAATAGTTTGCTGTTTTCGTACCAAAGGCTGTCTTACTGGCTGGCCGTATTTTAATAAAAACTTAGTACAGTAAAATTCTAAAGTTAAAGCTGATGAACCTTGTATAGGTGCTATAAATACCATTAGATTATATTTTACTACCGCTGTAAATGTTATTTTCAGAAACCTGTATTGCAATGCGACGTATAATTTTGGCATCCAAAATTATATAGTCGTAGTAATATTTTTTTTGCTATTATTTCTAGCCCCAGTAGTGGAAACGTATTAAACTATATCATACCAATCGCTACATTGAAATGGTGTATTCTACAAAAAAAAAACATATCTGAATATCTTATATGTTTATCTGGCAATCTGTTTATACACGTACGTTTGTACGAAGTTGCACTCTATACAATAGAGTATAATAGAGTACAATAGAGCACTTCGTACTCTATTTTCTAAAATTACATATTTATCTATTTACAAAAAAATGTTTTTATGTCTTCATAAAAGTCAACTTAAATTACATTTTAGTTTCGTGTAAAGAACAAATCTTATCACTATGCACTCATGCAAATATATGTGATCATTACTTTTATATTTACTTTAGTTTTAGTTACAGTGCAATTTTTATTATATATCACGTTAGTATCTTAACTTTATTGTAATTTTCTCATTATAGGTAAAGAAAATGCATGATCGCGTACAAAAAACGAAAGATCAAGTGCAAAAATGTCGTGAAAAATATGAACAAGCCATATCTGAAATTACCAAATATAATTCGGTATATATAGAAGATATGACTAATGTATTCGAAAAGTGCCAAGCAATGGAGAAAACTCGTCTCACATTCTTCAAGGATGTGTTATTTAATATACACACATGTTTAGATCTAACAAAGGTTCAATGGTAAGGAATTATCAAAAATCAAATATATACATCAATAATTTTTATATATAACAACCCAGCTTACCGCAAATATATGAGGAATTCTATCACACCATCAACAATGCTGATTCACAAAAAGATCTTAAATGGTGGTCAAATAATCATGGCGTGAATATGGCAATGAACTGGCCTGCATTTATTGTAAATATAATTATTTTAAACACTAAATATAGTTGTGCTTTAATATAATAATAACATTTCTCTTTTGTCATTCAAATTTAGGAATATACTGAAGAATTCCGAGATATAGCGAAAGGTAGCAAATCAAAAGAAGCTCTTCCAGCAGCACCAATAATGCTCATCAATCAACGACCTGTAGCTGAGGATGTGCATGTAAATATAGTCTATTTATATATTATTATTAAGTTTATAGGATTCGACTTCTATGATTTATGTCTCAATTTCATACCTCTTTAGGAGTATCAAACAACAAATAGTCTCAAGAAGAATACATCGAACAAATCTAGTGGAAAAACCGTTCAACAGCAACAAGAATCATCCACAGTTACAACAACCGTTGGAAGTAACAAAAGCGCTGGTGCAAATGCAACGGCGGCGGCAGCTTCTAGTAATCGTAATTCAGGCGTAACGTAAGTGAAAATTGTTAGAACGTTTAACAATAAACCATTGAAGTGTGAAATTCTTCATATGCAAATACATATATGCTTGTATTCCGTATATATATTTAATCTTCATCCATTCCGCACCCACTTTTTATTAATAATAACTAATGTTGATAAATTCTTTACAGTAATGGTAATGGCAAAGCCGATCCCAATCCATTTGAAGAGGAAGAGGAATGGGATGATACTGATAATGTTTTGGTTGATAATGGTGAACCAGGTGTGCCTGTAAAAGCTCTATATGACTATGAAGGCGCTGAAAGTGATGAACTATCGTTTAAACAAGGTATTGAAAAGTTAATTAATTGATATTTATAATTTATAAGAGAAAAAATAAATGTGTATATAGCATATATATATAAACATAAAATAATTATATGCTGCGATGAAAAACCCTACTACTTCGTATCGTTAAAAATTAACGATAATATTAAAAATCTACGTAATTAATCTTGTTAATCTAGACTATTATTTTTTTTTGTGTATTGGTTACACAGCTAGTGACATACGTATTTACTGTCAGACAGTTGATCGTGACAGTTGAAGACGTGAATTAATATGTTTGGACATTTTTTATGTGGCAAAACACCGGATCCGAGAGTTTGTGTGGAATAGAAATTAAATGCAACAAATTATTGAAAATGTTAAAAAAAAGTATTTAACAACGACAATATAACAACAATCGCGAGTTTTTGAATGATAAATGTGCTTTCAAAAAAGCCTAAAAGTTATTGCACATGACATGAAATCCAGGTTGCAACCATGTGCGTCAAAATAAAAAATAAAAGTATGGAAAAAACTTAAACATATTAATTTTAAAAATTAAATAGGACGATAGTTATGTATATTATTGCCACGAAACAAGAATCAGCAAAATGATAAAAAATTAGTTGCATTATAATTCGCGATAAAACATAATATCAATGGAACCACCCTATTCTGCACACGTAGAAGCCGTGGCATTATTCTATTTCTCAAACTCAGAAAGATACTCAGAAAATATTTTTCAAAAATAAATACCAAGAAGGCGAAGCCGCAGTTCTTAAAAAATTAAAAAAATATTTATTAAAAGAATTAAAAATGCTCACTACTTTTTGATATATAATGGACTATTTATTTACATAAAAATACATTGCATTGTTTTTCAGTGTTGCCTCTCTTCCCAAGCCACAATATAGTTTACGATTGACAAGGTATTTTCTATGCCTTTTTTAGGTCTTTTCTAGAAGTTTAATTAACATATCATTACTGGAAACATAGACGTTGTCTAAAATCAAATATTCTCAAAAACTTTTTCTATTTTTATTTATTATTAACTTGGCCATCCTCATCAACAAGATCAGAACTACCGTTAAATTTGAATAAAACTCCAATATATTGTTTATATTCTATTCTATTCTATTCAATTCTATTCTATTTTATTCTATTCTATTCTATTCTATTATATTCTATTCTATTCTATTCTACTCTATTCTGTTCTATTCTATTCTATTCTATTCTATTCTATTCTATTCTATTCATTATATTTTATTCTCTTCTCTATTTATAAAAGATAAATTCTACATTTTATTCTATTTATATAATATTTTATATATATATATTATATATTTATATTTATCTTTATACTAATTTTGTTTTTTAAACCGGCTAATTGGTCAATACTTAAATACTTTAGAAAAAAATTTCTTTTGTTTTTTAAAAAGATTTTATTTAAGCCAATATTTCGACTATATATTATAGTCATATTCAGGGTTGGTACAACAAAACACAAATTGAAGACGCGTATAGCTGGACATAAACACAACGTAAAGTATAAAAATAATATGAAGTAAAGGGTTACACCAAGAAAATAATTAACGAAAACGCTCTTTCCTGAAAATCTTTATATTCTATAAACGTCAGACTCAATTATAATACTGATATACAACAACTTTCAACAAATCTTGAAGAGGATAAATATATTAATTCTTTATAAATGTATTTTATATTTTATTGTCAATGTATTTTATATTTATTCTCTCTATATTATTATTCATGTTTTGATGTTAATGTATAAGAACATTTTACTAGCCTAAAGATAACTGTTGAATATAGTCGAAATATTGATTCAAATGAAATCTTTTTAAAAAACAAAAACTTCTATAACTCGAATTTTCTATAACTCAAACTAAATAAAGTGCAAGAGGGTTTAGAGAGAGGTATACAGTTACAATAAAATTGTTTAACTCGAAGTCTCCATAAGTCAAACCTATTCTTTACAAAATGGTACTTCGAGTGATGAAACTTTGACTATATTTATATTTATGTTTATGTATATGTTTATATATATGTTTATATATATGTTTATATATATGTTTATATATATGTTTATATATATGTTTATATATATGTTTATATATATGTTTATATTTATATTTATGTTTCATTTATATTTATATATATATTTACATTTATATTTATTTTTATTTTTATATTTATATTTATATTTATATTTATATTTATATTTATATTTATATTTATATTTATATTTATATTTATATTTATATTT